GTTTCTGACCCACAGGATTAATATTTTTGGTAGACAAAAACTGCAGCTATGACCCTTTTTATTTCAAACTCTAAGACCATTGGCATGTTTTTACTTTAAGAGAGAAAATTAAGACGTCAGTAGCAAAGGTTGAAACATGGAAGACATTCTCCTATTTTAAGTGAAAGTGAAACCATGAAACAATACATCGACCTGAAGCTCCAGCCAGGTTGGGCCTGGCTTGCAGGGTTCATCTGGTACATTAAAAAAAATATATTTAAAAAATTATTGGTTATGCCACAAACTACACAGAATAAAAGGCCCTCCCCCCTATAGGTGTCCTTATTTATCACAAACATGGCAAGAAGGAGCTGCGAGCATTTTTGCCTCAGCTGTCTGGCTAATCAACATGCTAGACAGACAGCCAGTACTGTGTGGTTAGAGCAATGCACAGCTACCAGTCTGATCCTTCTACCTGCCTGTCTGCAGACAGGCACACTTCAAAGCCAGGAATTCCTACAAAGGAGAGAAAGAGAAGGTATCTGACGGTTCAGATGTTACGCAAAAGAGGGAGAAAGCACACAGGAAGACAGAAAAATTGGGTTGTGCTGAAAGGAGAAGAGGTATCAGAAGGAAAAACAGAGAAGAAAAAAAAAGCTGCTGATGGCTAAAGGCAGCCTGATGTTCATAGTATGAAGTCTCTACAGGACTACGCAGTCACGGGACTTCTTCAGTCCTTGACCAGGCAACACTACAATCACAAATTCAGAATGTCTGTCTTGTGCTGGTGCCACAATATGAAACTATCCTCATGCAGTTTCTGAAAACATTTCAGTAAATTAAAAGCTGTTTCATATTAAATTTAAAGTATCTGATCTTATGTTGTTCGGGGTCCACAAGGACATTAGTTCTAAGACAATCAGTTTGTGTTCTTTGTAATAAAATAAATGGAGCCAAGTATATCAAGTAGGTAGCCTTCTCAAAAAACCACAAAGGATCATTATTGGGACCCCTTCAGCTTGCAAAAATGACACGCCTGCATTGTAGCCAAGGTCAGAACTGTTAACAAAGAGAGCTTTAGAGATGTAACCTGCAGTAATCTAACTCGCATCAGTCATAAAGCAAAATTCTATTCAAAACCAAAGAGATTCAGTAGGGCTGCTATTTCATTATCAACAATGAATTTTTTTAGGATGCTGGAAGTTTAAGAGAAAAAGACAACTACACAACAAGAAAAAAAAAAACCCCAAAACCCAAAGCCAAACAACTTGCATGTGGTTAGTTTTACTAAACTCATCTTATGTATCCTCCCCCTCCTTGCCCCAAAACCAGCTTCAATTTACTCTGTGCTTTAGATATTATACTCTACTTTATGCTATGCATTGTTGCTTACAGGATTCAGCTGAAAAACACCATGTCAGAATGAAATTGGAAATAAAAGCCTGGACATGCAGATACAGAGCTGAAAATCCAGAATGAAACTCATACTTAACTGGGGGGTCTCCTTAAAAATGACAACTCCAAAAGAAATTGGGAGTGGAGAAGGCAGATCACAGGAAGCAGATCAGAAAGCATGACTTAAATTTGAGTTTGTGTACTTCTCCCAGATTTACACCTGGACCTGGTCTGATCGCAAGCATATAATTCCTTAAATATTTGAAGAAGCTGTTGCAATTGAATTTCCTCTCAGAGAGAGAAGGTCCGTGGAGATACTAACCACAGGTGCAAGACCCAGTACTTCTCAATTCTAATGTTCATTTTGGCAATTGCTATTCCTTGTAGCTGATTTAACAGTATTTCTTGTTGTAAGATTACAAGTGGATTGAGCAATGTGAAAGTAAAAGCACAGAATATGTGCTTATTATTATTCTGCTATCTTTTAACAACATACTGGAATGTTAATAAGAGAGAGAATAATTCTAACAATGTTTAAAAAAACCCCTTGTAATTATGCAAATTTCCTGTAGTTAAGGCTTGGCAGATCAAAGAACCTTAAAATGAATTAGATAAGGACAGCCATACGTGCCTTTTTATTTTACTCTCTACATGAATATTGCATATATGAAAGACACCATAATTCAGAACTAAAGAACTGCAGAATTGGGAAGATCAGAAGCAGAATGGTGGACGTTTTGTTGAGTACTATATGATTTACTTTAGTCCAGGGCTGGAAAGATAACTTAAGGTGGCTGGATAGTTTGGTTTCAGTGGTCCAGACAATAACTCTTCCCCTGTTAAGACCAGTAGTAAAGACAACAAATAACATCAGCTGACTTAAAAAAAACCCAAAACATTGAATGGTGAGCATTGTTTTCATTAGAAAAAGAACTATGTTGTTACTCATGTTACTTCTTGGGAAAGAGATGAATTATTTTAAAAATGTGATTACAAACGATCAGATTCTCTCATTATTGCTTTCATATAATTAAAAGCTTCAGATATGGATTGTTCCATATTATATAAGGTATGCAAATCAGTTGGTGAAAATGAGTTTTAAAATAGTATATCGATGCCATACTTTTAAAAGCTTCATGTGGAAAAGATGTTTTGTAAGTTTATATATGGCCCAAAAATGCCATGTGGGTTTGGTACTGCCCACCAGTACACATATATAAAAGTGCTGCTTAAGGAATTTCTTGACAGCCAAATAGAATAAGATTCTGATGTAACAATGTTTCTCATGATCACCTGTAGGCCAATAATTGTAGTTAGAAGAACATTTACTGAATTTTACTAGTAGGACTTGTAAAAGAAGAAAGTTTAGCTACGAACTTAATATAATAGCTTCAGAAAATGTGACTTTGAAAAGTTCTTGTAGGAATTATACAGACTCAAAAAATCTATTAACATATTACAGTTGAGGAACTGATCAAAGGCAGTATTAAAAAATTCCCTGTAGCAATACTGCTAGGGTCATAAATGCACTTGGAATTCATTACTCTTATTTCAGAATAACAAAACAGAAAAGGAAATTCATCATGATTGGATTCTGTTCGGTTTTTATTATTGTAAATATGGTAGCAGTGAAGATCAATGGTACTATAGCAGTATTAAATCATATTTGATAGCTGTTTCTTAAAGTAATTGTAAAAAACACTGCATTTCTAAAAGCACTGCCTTCCCCCACCCCCCCAAAAAAACCCAACCCAAAACACCCCAAGCAACCAAACTCTATAGATAATTTTTAAGAAAAATATGTTGTTTTTGTTCTTGGAAGAGAGAACCAGAAAAAAATTAAGAAAATTATACATTAAATAGGTTCAAATGTAATGCTAGCTTTATTCCCCACAGATAAAAGGAATTTGTAAGATATGTGCATTCTTCCATGACACAGAGGTCTATAGTTGGAAGAACATCTTTATTTTGCCACCGAGTTATTTTATAAGCTTGCTTAAGTAGTAAGGGCCAAAGGGTCAAACATACAGAAAGTTCACGTAAAATATCAGATTTCCAAGTCTGAGACTGTTAATTACACATAGAGTTAAAAACTTCTCTGACTATATGAACAGTAAATCTAAACAAGCATAATTAGATCTAAGGTTATGTTGTAGTTTTTTAATTTATGGCCATTTTATAGCACTTTCCTAAAGAAAAAAAAGAGTCAATTTGATGCTTTTACTAACGTGTGTATTTTCTTATGCAAAAAATGTCTTTTTTGTTACTTAGGCAAAGAGTTATTCATCAGTACTCTGCATGTTCATGTTAGCTGCAAAAACATACCCTGATATTCTGTAGCACTTCTGTATTCATACCTGCTTAAATATGGGTTTGAAAGCTTAAAAATATTAGGCTACATTTTAATCAAACTAATAATTAATGCTATCTGGTTTGTATTTCAGGACATCCATTTTTTTTTCTAGGGAAGAATTAACAGCCCTGAGCACAGTGTTCAAGGTGAGAGTATTATCATTGATTTATAACCTTAACAGGTCAGCATTTTTTCCCCTAAATTATTGCTATTTTTTAAATTAGTGTTATACAGTTTTCCCAGTGGAGTATGGGAAACTTTTTAAAAAATCTGAGTCTAATTTGAAATAAGACTTGAGTGACAGATGCAGACAACTGCCACCATTGGGACAGAGTTGGAATGGTGCAACTTACAGACTTGCATACTTTGATCATGTTTTGGCTTGCGAGTTTGGGATTTTTTGCCAAAGCAAGAAGTGAGTCCGTTATGGTCATAAGATTAACAGTCGTAAGTCAGACTAATAGACCACTTAGTACAGTCACCTGTGTCTTCTAGGAGCCACTAGTACATACCTAAGAAGGCTGCATAAAACCCAGGATAGTCTAACATTAGGCACTGCTTGGACCATGGCCTAATGGATTATTCTTTTTTTTCCCTCAACTTTGTTTTTTGGATTCATGTAATAAGTTTAAACCTCTAGTTAAGCTGTAAGTTGCATGAAGCACTACTTCTTTCCTTTTATTTTGATCCTGTTACCTAATGATTCTCTGATAACTTGTAGTTCTTGTATTACGTGAAAGGATGCAGCCATTCTCTCTCTATCTTCCTCAAGCTACTCATGATTTTATAGATGCCTGTTAGCCTGCCAGATGTAGTGAACAACTTCAGAAAAATACATCCTGTGTTTGCTGAATATTATACTGATCCTTTTTCATGTGGCTACAAGATTCTATTTAGGTATTTCCAGGCCACTGTTGTTTCTTAACACAATTGCTAAGGAACTGATAAAAAAGTAAATCATTAGAAGCTTATGCTATTTCATAAACTGATGATATTGTACCCAACGATTTTTCAGATTGGGCAAGATATAGCCAACTGTTCAAACCCAAATTGCATGGGACAGAAGAGAAAAAAGAATGCAGTTGCCATATTTGTAATAAATACGCAATCTGTAAAGAAAGAAGAGACAGGCAGTTTTGGCCTTGTAAACTGAAGACACTATTCAAAATCAGTCTGATTTCACTTTATAAACTTCCTTACAAATCTTTAGGTTGCTGAGAAGTATATACAGACAGACCATGCCATGTGTATTCTCATTATGAGATTATCTTACCTGACCCCTTTTTTAGGTATCCATTTGCATCTACAGTAGTGTAGCTGATGTAAGGACCAGGCTGATTAACACCAAAAGGCTACAAGGGGAGTGGAGGGGAAAAAAAAAAGCAGGCAATATTTTAAAACCAGAAAAATTTACAGTAATAAAACAGTAAACCAAAGAAAAATGTTTCTAGATTAAGGATTTCCTTTTGATATGGATAGTTTCAAAATCTTGCAACTGTTTTGGTCATACCATTATGTAGAAATTAATTTTCAAAATAAGGCTAATCAGTTGGCTAACTAACTTGCAGTTTCTCATAAAGAAAGCAATACTATTCAGTCCTCTGGTGAAAGGTTTCCTTGGAAGTTACAATTAAAATTTAAAAAACCCTAAAAATTGAAAGCAATAACTGCATATTCTGAAAAAGCAGAACTCATTTGATATTGTCTGAGAGAATGCACTATCTTGATGGTCTTTCTGAATTGAAATATACTACACAAATTCAAAACTATGGGATCATTGTTTAGCAGCATTTTATTTAATTCATGAAAGTGGATGAACAGTTACTTGTCGAGTACCAATATCTATTTTAAGCAAATTCTCTTGAGGGAGAAAATTTACTTAAACATCAAAGTACAGTTACAGGAGAAAAAAATAAATTAAAAAAAAATTTTAAAAAATCAGTCAAAGGGAGTTGTGTGAGTGATGAACTGTAACAAATGCATATAAGTAAGAAGGGACGGAACAATTATCTGCTGTGGTGGGGAAGGGAGAGGAGCAGGGACAACTGTAAGAATAGATTTTAAAGAGAGTTTTTGTTGTTTTGTTTTTTTTTTTTTTTTAAGGCTGAATTCAAGCTGATATTAGGGCATCAAATTCAGTAAAGATCTTTCAACTGAGTTACAGAAAGAACACTAAAAGAAGAGATGATGACAAATTTCACACCATGCCTCAAAAACCAGTAAGTTCTAAACCATAAGTGATAATGGTGAGAGATGTGATCAAAGCCTGAAAAATAATTGATTAGAATGAAGAGTAAGAGACTGAAAAGGGGATGTTAATGCAGATCTATGAAAGATGAGTAAATAAGGCGAAAATCTGATTTAAATTTTTTTTTCTTTTGCACCTAGTAGCTGTATTCTGGCAGAATGTACTTTAGGTTCCTTTATGACAGAGAACTTCTATTACAGTGGAGGGAACAGTGTTTCAATGATCTTGATAATGAAATGTTCACCAACATCTATTCTGAAGATTTGCTAAATAAACTTTCTCTTTAACGTTGTAATGAAGCCAATAATACGATCAAACCCTCTTATTATTTTATATTAGAAATCAAACCCTATGTCTTAAAATAAGCATGAAGAAAATGTCAGTCTCATCTGAAACAGTTTTTGTATTTTCAAGTAAAAATTAAACTTCATATTTTTGCAGAGCTAAAGTGCTAATACTAGCTTTGCTTCCTCCAAGTTCCTCTTTTAGGACAACTTTTACTGTAAACATTGCTAGACCGTTTGCTAATTGAACGTTTGGTAGGTGAGTTGCAGGATCTCTGTCAATGATTAAAAAAAACAAAATAGAAATCAGCACATGTATATGTAGTTATCTGCAGAATCATCAGAACCAAGTGTATTTCCTTCCCTTCTACCCTTTGTTGTACCCACTTACCGTGTTTTAGTCCAGAAGTGGCTATATGGTTCAATCTGGCCCATATCCAGTTTTGCCTGGCCTTTCTGACTGCCTAGAACAAGACCTGGCACACTATGCAGTTTGGCCTTCAGTTGTATTACACAGGTTTTTCTTGTATCTGGAATATCCCAGCCCCCACGACGCTGGGTAACAAAGCTCACTGCAGAGTCAGGGAACTGATTTTGTCTCTGAGGCTGCTGGCGGAAGGTATGGGGCTTAAATATGCAGAACTTGGCCAGTCATGATTTGGGTTACGCACTCTTCCAGTTAATAACTGTCTTAATATGTGGAGAGTTTTTGGTATAAATAAATAACACAAAGTAACAGTTATACTTACTGTTATTTTCCGAGGGCAGTCATTAGAACAGAGGCCACTGAGAACTGTGAAAACAAAAAGTGAGTTTGTAGTGTTCACGTTAACAAGCCATGTTACAAGCACTACCTCTGAAATCTGTTAAAGTAGTAATAGTGTTAAGTATCCATTAAAACACAAAGATGGTGTCTTCTATATGACATGTTAATGTATATAAAAAAAATCCTAATTTATTTAAAGTATACTTCTTTGCATAAATTAATCAGCTGGTCACTGTATTATCATACATCACTTGTTAACCAGCTTCAAAAATGGAGAGATTTGCCAGTTAAAAAAAATGCAAAATTAAAGCATTTTTAAAATAGTGGACTGTACATTTTATTAATTATTCTTCATTTCTAACCATTTAAAATATTGGCAGAGATTCAGCTTTACAGTTTTAACTGGTAAAAAGGTAAGTAGAGGCTTTTCCTTCTATACAAGGGCTAGTTCTACATCTTGATTTAAAGCAATTTGCAAAAGCTGCAATAAACAAAATTCCCATTACCTATTTATACTGTGAATTCAAAAGTACTATAAACAGATGTGTATAATGCTACTTAATATCTTAAGCCTGTGACAGTTTTTCAATTACTTGTTTAAAACTTATTAGTTTCAAAAATCAGTTAAATTACAGAATCATCTGTTAAACATTTATTTATAACCAACTAAATGATGAACAATGAAAGCCATCTGTTCTATAACCTAGAACATCCTGTCACATTGAGTATTGGAACCATTAATACTAAAATGCCTTTTAAACGTACAACAAAAAACACACACACACACACACACACACAAAATCTAACATGTCATTCTGATGCAACATTTGGACTTCAAATGACAACAGTTTGGTTGAGCAGCAGCCCAATAATGGCTGTGATCAGGGAAGAAGGTACAGACCAGGCAGTATCAAAGCCAAGTAAAAACATAACTTCTCCATGATTTATGGTGTACCAAAGTGAGTGTGATGGACATAAAAAATTAAGATTGGGACCAGATTTGAGGGCAGGTCATCCTATCCCCTAGGATTTTTTTTTTTAAAGCTTTTTCTGTCTACTTTAAAGCTCCATGGAGTTTTGGGTACAAAATATTTGGGGACAGTGAAATACTAAGAGGTGTACATAAGATGTTCATAGTGTAATCATCTGATTAGAAATCATTCCCTACTGGTGTCAGGTATGGCACTGTTCTAGTGAAGGAATATTTCTAATATTCTGTGTGCAAGTATTATTAACTCTCATTATTCTCAAGTTATCACGCTTTGCTTGTGATTTAAAAATAATGACATTTCCAAACGCAGAAAAATCTATTATTTTTATACAGTAAAAAAAAAAATCTGGACAGGTAAGATGAAGGTGTGGCAAAGCAGAATTTGAAGACTGTGTGTATCTAAAAACAGATTTTAAAGCTACAACCTTATTTTATATGTTATACATAGGTATGTGTGTAATGAAACCACCTCTTCCCATTTTGGTACAAAAGGACACACTGCAATTTGCTGTTCAATTTTACTACTGGAACAAATAATCCAACCAAGTACATCTGACATCAGTTACAATGAGGAAAACTGTTCTCATTGTCCATATGCCAAATAAGTGAACACAGTGCATTTATTGATACACTAACTTCCACAAAGCATGTTTTGTTAGAAATATTCTCCCCTGCATCACAGTAAAAATATTTTTAGACTACTCATTAATTCCCATTTCATCCAAAAATACTTACACCCTAAAAAGGTGCTAAAAAAAGCTTTGCTCCAGTTTTTAATAGATTTAGACAGAATGAATCAAAAAGCATGCTGCAAATTACTCTTTTCTCCATTAAAATATCACAGAATTATAATTCTAATATGGCTTTGTGAAGTGTGAGATTTTTCTAGAGGATTTTCTACGCGCTTGTGTGAATTACACTATGCATATACAAAATTATTTAAACGAAGGCTTCTATCAACATGACAAATCATTATAGGGTCTTACGATGAGAATAAAGCTCAGGCTAAGGAGAAAGTAATAAATGCATCAGGCCCTTGCAGCACCTACAGTTGTGTTTATCTTATGTTGTGCAGAATGTGTGCTTTAGAAGGATTAGATGCATTTAAATAACATGAATACAAATACAATTTTTGAAGGTGAACCACTAGTTGTTCCTGTTTAGCTTTGTCTTCATAAGCTCACATACAGACTCATTTTTTTAACTCATTTTCAAAAAACCAAGGAAGACAGACAAGCAGTGAGCTCAAAGCTCAACAACCTTGCAGTCTGGAAGAACACGGTAGGGCACGCAATTTGAAAACTTAGTTACTCTCAATTACAAATATAATAATTAATTCTAGCCTTTTAAACCAAGGCTCTAATTAATTCACACACCCTTGCTACATTCATCACCATTCTGCGCTTTTACAGTAAGATGTGTTTGGTGCCATAGAGCACTCTGAGGCTGAAAATACCAAACTAACTCACACATGGATACAAACTGGCTCTCAGAATAGATCATGGAGCATAAGCAAAATATACACCATGCCAGTCGTCACTGAAGTGAAATCAGCCCATTTTGCACTAGATTCTGCATCATTTCCAGATGATAAGGAAAAGAACTCCAGTAAAGTAGGCTTGATATGACAGAGATACAGCAGAAAAGACAGCAGTCCCTGCTGTAAAGAAAATACTGCAAACACTTAAGACACAGAGGAAAATAAGTGCACCTGGCTATTGTTTCTTGCCTAGGTTTCTGAAAATAGGCACAATAAAAAGGCAGTCAATTGTGGACAAACAAAGCATATTCCTTTAAGTGAGTACTGCTGTAATTTCTTCTGGTTCCCTTCTGTCTCACTATGGCGTACATATTTCTATGTGCAAGCATAATTCTATTTTTCCTCAATTAGTGATTTATGAGCTAATCTTCCTCCGAATTTTAAATAGTATCACACACACACAAATCTAAATTGAGTAATACATATGTGTAGATCTAATGCCATTTTTATATTGGCAACATTATGTTATGTGAGAAGATAAGTGAAAGTATTGTACAAAAGATTCACAGAACAGGCCTTATGAGTTCATCTAGTCCAACCCTGTCCCTTAAAACCAATTAAATATACTATGTAATTTCTCAACCTAGTTGTCAGGACCACTAATGGTGGTAACTCTGCAGCTTTTACAGGAATTTATGTTAGTGCCTCACAAGCTCTCATTCAGGAAATTATTCTTGCTATTTACTCGTCACAGTTTGTTACTTTATGTTGTATCCCCGCATGGACACATGGAACGCTTTCCCCCCATTGTTATGCATCGTTATGGATTGAAGACATGGATCTTCCTTACATTTCAATTTAAGGCTTATAACTTTGTTTCACGTGTTTTTTTTCCCTGCAGATCATATTTTTAGACACTTGATAATTCTTGTTTTTCCTTCAGAAGCCAGCTAAGAAATAAGTCTTTAAAGACCCAGTATCTGTCTTTACAATTTTACTAGGATGCAGAAGGAAAGCTCCAGGTTGAAAGGAAAGGTTTAGCCTGCCTCTAGTTAATGAGTGAAATAAAACATGCATTCTTGTAAAAAACCCAAAAACCCAAAAAAACCCCAACCAAACCAAAAAAACAAAAACACTCAAGAGATGATCAACACTTATTTAAAGGTCACTGTGGTCAACACTGATATTAAAAACAGCTAAAGTGTTGAACATAATGGGCAGAATTACTTTGAAGTTTAATAAGTACACTAAAATAGAAACAAGAAAAAACCCTTTGAAATGAAACAAGATCAACTTATCCAAGTTGAGATTCAGTAACAAGAGATTTCTGCAATCCCTAGTATCTTCCGGGCTGTGTTTTTTTTCTTTTCTAGAATTATCATACTCAGAGTATTACCACAATGTTATCATATACAGAGGCTGAAATATACACATTCTTCTCAAGGTCCCACTTGATTATACAGGGCTAACTTACCAATAACTTTAACAAAATAGGCATCTGCTTCAAAGTTATTTTTTAATGTATGGATAGCAAATTCCTCGTTGGAGTAGCCTTTGCTTAGCACAATTATATCCAAGATTCCCTAGAGGAAAAAAAGTTTATGTTAGAATGCTGGTTTACTCTAGATAACATCTTAATTTAGCAAACAAATTCCCTTAGAGATACGAAGGAAAAAAAAATAGTGTGTGCAGTGAAGTTTATACCTTTGCTACTAATTTTAGTATCTTTCACATTTTACTAATCTATGGCAATTTAGGGCAGAGTGCTCCATCCACAGCTAACCAGGACAATGCCTGTGGTCCACAGCTTCTTTCTTGCCTCTGAATAGAGCAGCTCAAATGGAGCATATGCAGAGTCAGCAAACTTTTAGGCAGCGATGTGCTGCTACCTGCTCACCTTCCAGGGAGCAGCTCAAGAGTGAATTTCCCAGGCTGAAGGCACTGTCTGCCCTGTGCTGTAAAGCCAACGTTTCTACAAGAGCAATCTGCCAATGGCACACAGACAGATCCAGCAACACAGAGAGAGAGACGCTGTTCGCTGTAGGAAAGACTGGAACTTACGTCTTCATATATATCAAAGAAGGTTGCTACCACTGCATCCTTGATTTGGTTTAGATCCGAGAGTTCCCAAAAAACTTTAAACATACGACGTACGCTCTTGCAGCTTACATTATTGCATGGGACATTTTCTAGTAAAAACGCTTGTTGATTGCTGTAAAACACATAGACATACACCGACTTATTTGCAAATTGTTTAGACTGCAAACACTCTAAATAATAGACACTACAAAAATATTGTAATTAAATAACTCTGCTGAAGTTAAATACAATAAAACAAAGCTTGCCACTGGATACTTTAAAAGCCATAACCATTTATGTTAACTTTACAGACAGAATTACAACCATTATGTCATGCCTAACTTAAATCAA